GGTAAAGGGAAAAAAAACACTTCTCAAACATTATATATATATATATATATATATATAAAATATTCACTCACATCAGTTATGTGCTTACAATTAACTATGAATTCAAATGTCCACACACTAGGACTGAGAATTCAATAATTTAATTAATATATTCTTTATTTCAAATCAATCAATGGTCGGAATGGTTGAGACTTGAGTGTGAGAGTTGAAAAGATTAATTGAATATATGAAGAAGCCTGCTAGTACAGCCCCCTTACAATGAGGAGGCTCAAAAAATTTTATTTCACGTGGGCTCTCTCAATCAACATGCGAGGGGGATGTACCATGGTGTACAAATGGTTTAACCCATATATTAATTATATAAAATAATGATTGATTTTCCTTAGCTAATTTACATCATTCATTACAAGTTATGAAATGAGTATAACATAGATATATTTTTATCAACTTCTAAAATACGTAAATATTCTACTCAAATAAGACTTACGATACATTCTAAAAGCCCACAGGGGCATAACCCAATGGTACAAATGATAGGAGTGAGGTAGTCTCAATTTTGCTGGCAGTCGTAGTGTGAGAGTTCGATTCATGAGATATAGAATTTGACTCTTTGTGGGCACCAATGTACGGGCAAACTTTTGTTTCCTAGTCTGTTGGGATACATCTCGTGATTTACTTCTCTCACGATGCTCTAGATGCGAGGCGGTGAGGCTCTCAAGGTTGAAGTTCAATTTTTTTTTTTTTTTTTTTTACAATACATTCTAAAAGTACACGTAAAATAAATAAATAATTTATACAAATAAGTGAGTCACGTTTATCACTTCAACCTTTAGACTTTAGCACGACGATAAAGCTGGACATGGATTATTTTATTTTTTAAATTACCAACATTAAATTTAGCACATATGAAAATAAAATTTAAAATTTGGGATGTTACAATTAACAAGAATTATCTATGTGTTGAACGATACTACTTGTTAATAGCAAGCGAAATATATGACAAAATATAAAGTAACAATCACAAAACAAAATAATAAAAGAAAATTGGTAAAGGAATGGAAAATATATTAATAATGGAGAAAGATTACAAAAAATATTGTGTTTACAATATTATCTAACTTGTGTAATATGTCTGACCTATAAAGAAAAGTCACCTATATATAGGTGGCATATCAAAATCCTAACAATATTCTTAAAGATGGAACTAGTAATACATAGAATAAAGAAAACAATATTTTCCAGAAAAGGGAAAAATTCATAATTCGGGTGAATTGTTTACACCAATTCAAAACTCAGGTATATAATTTGAAATTTAAAAATTCAGGAATATATTTAATTAATTAAAAATATTTATTAAATAAAGATAATAAAATCACAATTACACGATTAATGGTCACAAATTCGTAATTATAGGTCATATATTTATTTACTGGTCACATATCTCCCAATTAATTGGTCACAAATTATTTCGATGTCACAAATCAAAAATTTCGTAGGTCACAGATAAAAAATTTACAGATCATAGATTATTTCGATTTATAATTAATTGGTCACGGATTATCAAATTCTTAGGTCACACTTAAACATTTGGTCACAAATAACTAAATGGTTAGTCACATGCGTCAAATAGTGGTCACGTACCACCATCACTAACACTATCGCACCACCATTGCTATCACGGCCACTTGCGACCATCCTCACCACATTACTGTCGCCGCCATCAACACAACACCACCACCAACAATAACAATCGCCGCCACTAGATCAAATCAAATGCCAACAAAAATCAAGACAACCACAACCATCGACAACCATCTCCATCGTCGGAAACCACCACCAAACACACCAACAATACCTAGCCTACAACCTCACCAACACCCACCCGCATTACCAATGCTAACATGAATGCCTCCATCGTTGGTCGCCGCTAGAAATCACCACAACCACGACCACGACCACCACCACCAAACACACCAACTATACAAACCCACAACCTCACCACCATCTCCACAGCTAACACAACCAGCTCTTCTTTGTGACCACAACCACCCACCATTGCACTTTGATGCTGCACAAATGCAATGCCACTGTGTAGCGGCATTGACAACGAAGCACTATTGTGCACAACGGCGGTCGCAATGAGCACCGCATCGTTGCACCAAAATCCGAACATAGACCTCACAAGCACCGCCATCTGAAGTTGCGACTGAAGCAGCCGCCGTCACATTGTCATCACCACTGCAGCGCGAGATCTGAAGCGACGACTACAGCGCCGTCTTCTGCAGTGGTCGATGTACGAGCAGCTTCATCGCGGTGCACACCAGAACCTCCACCACCGGCGTCGCCCTCAAACCCATTTCTTGCCCCTATCGTCACTGTGTGTGTTTAGAGAGAGAGATAGATGGAGAAATGTGTTTGAAATTGGTGGATATATTTAATTATTAAACCTTGAACAATAAAACTTCACCCCTGATTTTTGAATTCTAATATTTAAACACTTGAAATTTTGTAATTTCCTCTTCCAGAAACCCAACCGAATTTGGGTCAAATTTTAACAAAACTTCAAAGGAAAAAGAGGAAAAATAAGTTCAAGAAATAGGGATAAAAGAGAAGGGTTTTGCTTTTGGGGATATTATAATTTGAATAACTCAAGATTCAACTGTGATTTGAATAACTCAAGATTCAACTGTGTTTTGTGACGACAATATACTTCATTGGTATTATTTTAAAATAATAACAAGTTAAATAGCTCTGATATCTTTGTTGGAGCGAAATTCACACGCATGAGATTAAAATTCTTGCCATTTTATATCTTTTGAATTTCAAAATATTATAGTATTTCATTAACAAGTAACTTGTAAAATGTCTCACTAACGTAAATGCATATTTATTTGCAAAGAGTTTTGCGTGTTGGTGAATGATTTAATAAACTCGATGCTATTAATAATTGCAGAAGTTGCTGTTTAATTGAACTGTATTATACCAAAGTATTCAAGAATAATATGTTACGACGTCACCTTGTTTATTAGTCAAACTGTGAACGCGATATTCACAAAAAATTGTTGGCTTCGGTATCAGTTCATCATGAGAACTCCTGCCAACTTCTAGAAATAAATAATCGACATGGTAAAGTTTCAAAACTAAATGGAAATAAACGTAAGTAAAAAGTAACGTAGTGCAAGCATTGGCGAACTAAGGTGGGGGCATGATGGTCAAGTGCCACAAAATTTTTGACTTTTTTTTAATGGAAAGATATAATACATTGGTCAAACTTTAAAATTTTAATCAATTAATAAAAACTGTCCATTCTTTTTATTTTTTATTTTTTTTATCTTTAATATCTCAACCAATTAAACCCGAGAATAAATCAACATGAAAACGTAGTACAGAATAGAAGTTTAATCTTTCTCTAGTTATGAGTGCATGGATCTTCAAAGAATTTGTCTCAATCACGCACCTTAAAAAATGAAGTCAAGTTTGGTGAGATTATTTAGCTTGAATGAATGTTCACCCTCAAGAACTATATGTTTATATTAATATGTCTCGATTTTTTAAATTTTTTTTTTTTTTTCAAATACACGGCAGAATAAATTTAGACACCGCTTTTCCTCAAATATTTTGAGGTTTATTATTTTCTGTAAGGATCGTGGTTAAAAAGAAAATATATACTTTTTTCTAGATTTGAAAGTTTGATTGTGCTCTCAACTCAAATGTCTATTATGTATACCTTATACGAAATAACTAGAATCAAACATAAAAACTCAAACTTGTTGATTCGTTCACGAAATGTCAAGAAAGAGAGAAAGTAGAGAGAAAATTGAGTTTTTTATTATATCAAGAAATTGAAAGCCACCAAGGCTTACAACCTTAATTAAAGTAAGATAACTATAGTGACGCAAATTTAGATAATGACGGAGATCTATATAGTGACGAAAGTCAAGTATCGAAAATTAAAGTCCCTAAGCTTCCAGATCAATCCGTAACAAACGGAATTGAATTTCGAAGTTATTTATTAAAAGAAAATTACCAAAAAAGGGAAAAAAAATATGTTTCGAAGGTCTAAACGATGGAATTTGTACGTAGATTACTCAAACATGCAAAACTTGGGATTGACAATTGTGAAGCCTCCATCAACCAAAAGATTGTGTCCACTCACATACTTAGACTCATCACTTGCCAAGAACAGAGCAGCTTCAGACACATCCTCTGGCTTAAGAACAGCACCTTTGAGGTTGGAATAAACACCATGGCATCCCTCATCATCCAATTTGAAGAAATCCCTTGCTAGAGGTGTAGCAACTAGGTGTGGTGACACACAGTTTACTCGAATGCCATATTTTCCAAGCTCCACAGCAATATTCCTTGTGAGTCCAACCACCCCGTGTTTTGAACTTGTGTAAGCGTGTGAAGCAACACCACCTATGGTCGAACAAATACTAGCAGTTGTAATTATGTTCCCACGGCGATTAGGAATCATTACCCGCGCAGCATGTTTTGCCCCCAAGAATGCACCTTTGAGATTTACACTAATAACCTTTTCGAATTCTGATATTTCATTTTCAAGAATGTTGGGATTTGCTATTCCCGCTATACCAGCATTATTGTGCATTATATCCAACTTCCCGTATTTGGCAACAGCTGTGTTAACAGCCATTTCTACATCGGATTCTTTAGTTACATCACAGTGGACAAAAGAGGCTGATGATTGTCCTAAATCTTCGCATACTTTCTTTCCCGAGTCATCTTTGATGTCTGCAATCAGAACTTTAGCTCCATGTTTGGAGAACAGTCTAGCAGTCGACTCGCCAATTCCACTAGCAGCGCCGGTGATTAGTGCTACCTTGCCTTCTAGCCTACTTTCACACATTGAGTTGGTACAATATTATCTCACATCAGTATCACACAAGATTTCATGAAAAAAATAGTTATATAATATTAATTTGGAATGGAATTTGAACAAAGAGTTACCTTCTCACAAAAGTTGAAGTCATTTCCCCCAGTCGAAGTATATACTGTGAACCTCTTTGGTGCTCTCTAGACACTACAGGCCTTAAATTTTCAGAAGATTGATATTTCCACTGCACTTTGCAGGTTCTTTTATAAATAGAAAAAGCTTGAAAACTAATAATTCTATAGAGTCAAAACAACAAACAGTAAATCAAGAAACAATCATGCACCATTTTAATTTTACTAACCCAAAAATGATGAAGACGTGTTGGTCAGCTGGTGTCTCACTGTGCCGTACCGTGCCGTCCCCCTCAAATCACTCTCACATGATAAAGTTTACGCTGGCTGTCAACCTACAACAACGCTTCTCTTTAACCACATAAATTTTTGTGTCTTACTTGCACTTGTTTTTCACATTTTCTTCTTCTAAGTTTAAATTATTTTACGTCCCACTGATTTTGACAGAATTAGTAGCTGCTAATTTCTAAGAATCTTTTTGCGTTGTTATCTTATAATGTTCTCATAACTGGGTTGTCGTATACTTGCAATTTTTACGTAATGTTGGTATCACTCGTTCCTCTTTTATGTAATGTTCTCATCACTAGCCAAACCATGACATGTGCCTGTAATAATTGACCTATTCTTGGTACTTGTCCCACACTAAACGCAATATAAACGGGGAAAGATATAAAAAATGTAAAGCAAGGAAAAATAGGAACAAAATCATGAAAAATTGGAAGTCCGGAGAAAATAAAGGTCTGTGGATATTATAATTTGAATAACGCAAGAGTTAACTATGTTTATGTGGCGAATATATTTTTGTAATTAATATTTTGAATATTAACTTGTTAAATTGTAATGATATGATATCCTTATTGGAGCAACAAGCTCACATGCGCAAGATTTAACTTCTAGCCATTTAATATTTTGGGCTTTGAAATTATTTCATACTTTGTATTGAAAAGAGTGGAAACTGATTAACTCATAAAATGCTTGGAAAATATTATTTTTTCTTTGCTAACATAAATATCTATCGAGCCCTTCTTCATGTATAGAATGAGGGGTTCTGTAATCCCTCCAGATAAGACACAAGAGCGAGATGGTTTTTTTTTTTTTTTTTTAATAACACTATTTTATTCACATGAGGCCCATCCCATGTGATATTTTTTTATTGATTCTGTAAAGTCCATTTCTGTACAAATGGATTCAGCCATATCTATTTATTTGCAAAGAGTGTTGATGAATGATTTAATAAACTCCCACCCCATGTGAGATTTTTTTATTGATTCTGTAAAGTCCATACAAATGGATTTAGCCATATCTATTTATTTGCAAAGAGTGTTCATGAATGATTTAATAAACTCGATGTTGTTAATAAACCACATTCAAACGTAGTGCGTAGTAGTTCATCGTGTTATATGAGAACTCGATGTTGTATCCATCTTAAGATTGATAAAATGTCACCTCAGTACAAGTATAAATTCAATTTGCAAAGAAAATAAACAATAATTTAATGAAAAAAGATGAGCACGTTTGCTGAATTTACAAGTAAACACTAGGGAAATAAGCAAGCATAACGAAGGGCGATGGCATTAGCATGAATATCTAGTCTTTGAGACTCCTCTATGTGGATTGTCAAATATGGAGAAAACTGAATTCATACTGGTGAGGCCTCCATCAACAAAAATAAATATGTCCACTCACATACTTTGACTCATCACTTGCCAAGAAAAGAGCAACTTCTGCCATAACTTCTGTTAAACGTTCTTGCATGTATGTTTATGACAGAGTTCCAAGCAATGATACCTACTTGAAATCACAAAATCGAGGTTGAATTACTTGCCTTTGGTTCGCTTGCTTTCCACACTATCTTGTACCCGCCTCTTGGTTAGCAATTCGATCACAATGGAAGGAATTTGATAGCCACAATCCAAGAACCAAATTTGAGATGTTATATTCCAAAATTTAAGTCTTTTTCCTCATATATTTTCTTCCACACCCTTTAACCCGAATTTCCTTTATTCTTTTTTTCAAGAGGATGAATAATGGAAGGTGATGGGAGTTGTTAGAGGTGGGGAGGTTAGCTTTTAAATTCAATTTTTTTTAACTCCTCCCTCCAAAATCCATTTCCATGCAAACCGGGTCGGCTTTTTCCTCATATATTTTCTTCCACACCCTTTAACCCGAATTTCCTTTATTCTTTTTTTCAAGAGGATGAATAATGGAAGGTGATGGGAGTTGTTGGAGGTGGGGAGGTTAGCTTTTAAATTCAATTTTTTTTAACTCCTCCCTCCAAAATCCATTTCCATGTCAACCTACATGCGCGACCCGTTTTCTTTTAACATCTCCCACTCGCACATGATGGCCTTGACCTGATTCTAATATAATATCA